GATCTGGAGGTGCGTTTCACTGCAGTTCGGTTTTCCAGTCCCTTCTGTTAGATCTCACCAGAGGGGCCCCCAGCGTTAGCCAAGGTCAGTCCTGCACACTTGTTCTCACGCAGGGCCCCAGCAGCCCTGTCCTGCATCTGCCTACGTGGGCTTTTTCAGCTGGGTCTGTGAGGGTGCTTTTGGCCCATCTGGTCTCGCGAAGGGCTGGGTGCTCTTTGTAATGGGGTTATTGACTGAGCTGCGCTGGACTTGTCCCAGGGGCCTGTCTCAGTGGGGAGCTCAAGACATCACTCAAAACCACCGGCACCCTGGGTTGCCCATCCCCTCTGGTAACTGCTCTCAGAGAGGGCCCCAGAAGAGCCACTGACCTTGTGGCTGCCCCGACCCTCAAGCGCTCACCTGTGTGCACTATTGATGTGATTCCTAGGACCTACAGGGACCCCACTCGTGGGTCCCCTGTGCCCTGGGGAGTGAAGGGTGAGGTCTGCGTGAGGCAGCCCTCTGAGGTCAAGTGTTTTCACAGCCTGGGAGTGGGGCCCTGTGAGGACAGGGACGAGAGCCGTCCCTCTGCGCACCCCCCCCCCAGACAGCAAAGGAAAGCTCAGCGCAAAGCTTTATTGATGTAGCCCAACCTGCTGGGTAGCTCCTTCCAGCAGGCTTGCAGGGACGGCAGCCCAGGGGCCAAAGCAGGTTTGGGGAACAGTCCAGAAGTCAGTGTCCAAAGCTGAACTCCGCCGTCAGGCCGTTGCAGCCACTTCCTGTGTGGGAACAGCGGTGACAGCTGAGGCCAGTCCTGCCCTCTACCCAGCACGGTGTGCTCAGGCCGCCTCTCCCAGCGGGGAGCCAGCACGCAGCCCCCTGGCGTTGTTGGACTGGTTGGTGTTGTGTGTCAGAAGCAGCTCGTCCTCGCTGCCGCTGTGTGCACCCTCCTCCTGGCTGGCCTCTTGTGCCTGTTCCAAGAAGCTCAGGTGCCGCAGAGCCTCGGCGCCCCCGGACGACAGCAGGTCCGTGGGCTCTTCCAGCTCCGAGTCCGAGTCATTGGAAAGCAGGTGGGACCCTGGGGAAGTCCAAGAGAGGACCAGAGTCAGGCCGACAGGGAAGACAGCCGTGGCAGAAGAGCAGAGGGAAGAGGACTCACCTGGGGGCCCCTCCTGCGAGGGCTCAGCTGCCGCCTCGCCCACCTCCAGGAACGGCACCTGCCCCGCTGCATCTGTCCACTGAGCGGCCGCCCCATCCTGTGGGTATATGAGGTCAGCTGGGGCTGGTGGCCTGCGGCTCCACTGCCCACCCTTGGCTAGCCAGGCGCCCTCTGTCCCAGGACACGTCAGTTTGAAACAAGCCCACCAGGCAGGCCCAGCTAGATGGCCAGTCTGGTCAGGACTGAGCGAGGCAGCCTTGGGCCTCCTGTGGCCTGGGCTAGTGCTCAGAACCCTCCACACCCCTATGGCTCCCTCCAGTTCGTGTCCAGCCTCGATGCAGCCCTGGGCCTGCTGCCCACCTGGGTGCTGGGCGTCTCCTCAGGCTCGTCCTCAAAAACCAGTCCATAGTGTGCGATGAGGGTCTCCACAACCCGTGCCTGGTGGGGGTAGTCTACGAGGGAGGACAGGGACACGGTGGCCTCCGTGGGCCGCGGCCGCAGTAGTGTGGGCCCAAACACGATGCCCAAGTTCCCCGGGGTCATCTTATTGTCTTGTTCCACCTGCACGATCCTGGGGGTGGGCAGTGGGCTGAGCAGGGGCAGGGCACCACTTACCCACACAGGCGGCGCATCGGGGACTGCAGTGTGGCTCCGGGGACCCCAGCCCGCCCGCCCCTCACCTGCGCAGGTGGCGCAGCAGGTACTGCAGCGTGGCCCTGTTCTCAGGCGGCAGGTCCTGCAGCAGCTCCCGCAGCCGGCCTGCCATGGCCACGGCCGCTGCCATAGCACTCTCGCCCCCGGCTGGCCGGCCCCGTGCCGCCACCTTGGCCTCGGCCTCGGCCTTCAGGCTATCCTTGGCCAGCCCCACAAGCCCATGGTACAGGCGAAAACACAGCAGTGGCTCCGGCAGCTGTGGGAGGCGGGAGGCTCAGGGACCTCTCTCCACGAGGCTCCACCCCACCCACCACCGCATAGCTGGCCCAGCCCCTGCCACCTCACCTGGCGCAGGTAGAGCTTGAGCACGTTGCTGATGTCATGGGGTGAGGCCTGCGACAGCTCCACCAGCTCCTGACCGTTTTCAAATGCCTGGCACAGCTTCTCCACACGTGTCTTCACCCCGTTGACTCGGTAGATGCCCTGGGTGTGGGCTC